TATTTATTTTTTAGTTCTCGGCGGACACAACATCTTTGTTGGTATGTGGTGCTGAGGATCGAACCCGGGCCACACGCATGCCAGGCAAGCGCGCTACCGCTTGAGCCACATCCCTAGCCCTGAGGCTGGCCTTGAACTTGAGATTTTCCTGCCTCAGCCTCCAGACTCTGGGATTACAAGTGGGTGCCACTGTGCCCAGTAAATTTTTTTGTTTTGTTTTATGGTGCTAGGGATGGAACTTAGGGCCTTGCACATGCTAGGCAAATGCTCTACCACTGAGTCACACTCCAGCATGTGAAATATGCTTTGAAAGATGTGAACTTCTATATAAGCATGTCTGACCTCCTGAATTTTAATAGATATTTTGCCTTCCTGTGGCAGCTTACTGTTTCTTGCTCATAAGTTAGTGACAGATACTACCAACTTCTGAAAAGTAGAGACCATGATGTAAATCTTTTTCTTTCATAGGACTATGATTGTACATGTCATGTCAACAGATTCTGAGTAAAGATTGATGAAAGAAAGAATAACAATTCATAGGACTATGATTGTACATGTCATGTCAACAGATTCTGAGTAAAGATTGATGAAAGAAAGAATAACAATTCCATAACTCTCTTTGTAACTATTCTTGGTTCACTAAGTCCAAACACTTTTTACTGTGTCATACTTATCACCTACCCTCCTCTTTTTGATCTCCAATTTAGGTGATGTCTTTCCAGTGCAAATGAATCCAATAGTTCAGTCTCAGTTTGTACCATTGGCTGAAGTTCTTTGCTGTGCTATATCTGATATGAATGCAGTGCAGATCTTAGTAACACAGGAATCACTTTTGGAGCATTTGATGAAACATCATCCAGGTAAGGTGATGAACTTTTCTGAATTTGCATCTGTTAAGTTTCTATTTATAACTAATCATAGACACATAAATAAACTAGGCGATATCCTTTTTTTCTTCTTCTATAGAATCTTTTTTTAAAAATATTTATTTCTTAAGTGTAGATGGACACAACACAATGCCTTTATTTTTATGTAGTGCTGAGGATCGAACCCAGGTCCTGCCCGTGCTAGAGGAGCGCTCTATCCCTGAGCCACAACCCCAGCTGGGTCTATAGAATCTTATATGAAAACTCGGCTAGAAAAAGACCTGCATCAATAAATTTAATAAGGGAATTTCTTTTACTTTCTAGATGCATTTTTTTTTAAAGTAAATGTTTATGACAGTAAATAAATCAAACTCTAGAAAGGAGTCAACAAAAAAAGTGCATCTCCCCACCTTTCATTTTTTCCCATTCCCATTCTCAGAGACGACAACTGCTTTGTTTATAGTTATTACATATGATTTTATAAATTGCACTTAAATAAATATATAATATTTTATAATATAAATGGGAATTTTTTTTATTCTATACATTCTCCTTGTACCTTTAATTTTTTTCCATTACAAAAATTGGAGTCATGAAGCTGGGGCCTGGTAGCACCCATCTGTAATCCCAGTGCCTTGGGAGGCAGAGGCAGGAGGATCTTGAGTTCAAAACCAGCCTCAGCTGTTTAGCAAGGTGCTAAGCAACTCAGACCCTGTCTCTAAATAAAATATAAACCAGGGTTGGGGATGTGGCTCAGTGGTCGAGTGCCCTTAAGTTCAATCCTCAGTACCAAAGAAAAAAAAAAAGTTAAAGACATGAGGCTATGATTTATTTTTTTTAAAGAGAGAGTGAGAGAGAGGGGGACAGAGAGAGAGAGAATTTTTAATATTTATTTATTTTTTCTTAGTTCTCGGCGGACACAACATCTTCGTTTGTATGTGGTGCTGAGGATCGAACCCAGGCCGCACGCACACTAGGCGAGCGTGCTACCGCTTGAGCCACATCCCCAGCCAAGGCTATGATTTTTAAAAATTCCCATGTTTGCTCATCAAGAATGCCTTCCAGGACTGGGGCTGTGGCTCAGCAGTAGCACACTTGCCTGGCATGTGTGAGGCACTGGATTCAATTCACAGCACCACATATAACTAAATAAAATAAAGGTCTGTCAACAACTAAAAAAATAAAAATTAAAAATAAAAAAATAATGCTTTCCAGTGGCTGGGGTTGTGGCTCAGTGGTGGAGCACTTGCCTAGAAAGTGTGAGGCACTGGGTTTGATCCTCAGCACCACATAAAAATAAATAAGATAAAGGCATACTGTTCATGTACAACTAAATTTTTTTTTAAAAAAAGAATGCTTTGGGGGGATATATGCTTTGGGGATATAGCTCAGTTGGTAGAGTGCTTGCCTCATATGCACAAAATCCTGGGTTCAATCCCCAGCACCACAAAAATAAAACCAAAAAAAAAAAAAGGTTGGGCTGGGGTTGTGGCTCAGTGGTAGAGAGCTCACCTAGCACGTGTAATGTACTGGATTCAATCCTCAGCCCCATATTAAAAAATAAAAAAATAAATAAATATTTTTTAAAAAGAATGCTTTCCAAGCAGGTGCAGTGGCACACCCTTGTAATCCCAGTGGCTTGGGAGGCTGAGACAGGAGGATCTTGGGTTCAAAGCCAGCCTCAGCAAAAGTGAGGTGCTAAGCAACTTAATGATTCCCTGTCTCTAAATACAAAATAGGGTTGGAGATGTAGTTCAGTGGTCAGGTGCCCCTGAATTCAGTCTCTGGCACCCCTGTTGCCCCCCGAAAAATGGTTTCCTCAAATATTATTTTTTTAATGTGCTCAGCTCGAATCCAGGGCCTCATGCATTCAAGGCAAGCACTCTATCACTGAGCCACACTCCCAGCCCTCAAAAAGTTTAAATTTAAAATGGATTTGTATTTTGAGTAAATTTAGATGTTTTTCTCTATTCAATCATTAATGTATCTTTTCAGGGATCAAATTATATTGATGTTATTCAGTTAAATTTTTAATGTCATTTTTGCTTCTTTGGCATTTTAATTGAATATATTAATTGTGTTATAATTAACCCTGAGTTCATCAAGCAAAGCAAATGTGAGGTCATTTTTTTTTAAATTGGTACTGTGGATTGGTATGCACTTTACCATTGAGCCACATCCCCAGCCATTTTTATTTTTGAGTTTGGGTCTCACTGAGTTGCTTAGGGCCTTTCTTAGTTGTTGAGGCTGGCCTTGAACACGTGATCCATCTGCCTCAGCCTCTCCAGCCTTACAGGTATGCACTACCATGCCCAGCTGTATGATTATTTCTAAGTTGCTAATTTTACTCCTTATAATGTTTCTTGTTCAAAATCAGTAAAATGCTTGTTTGTTTTAGGTATTGCAATTCCATCTCAAGATGTTCTCTATACCACTCTGGGAACTCTGATTAAAGAAAGGAAGATTTATCACACTGGAGAAGGATATTTCATAGTTACTCCTGAGACTTACTTCATCACAAATGCAACAGCTCAGGAAAATAAGAGAGTCCTCCTATCAGATGAAAGTCAACTAGTGCCCACTTCTGTGACCTATCTGGTGAGCATGGAGAACGGTGCAGAGTCCACCAAAGAGAATGCTGTCCCTGTTTCCCATTGTCGGTCTTGCCAGTGTTTCCCTGACACATGCAGTCAGGGTGTTGAGGAACCACCAACTGCTGCAGATATGATTAGAAAAGACCAGAAAGGTCTTGGGGAATCCACGCCTTTCGTTCAGAATCAGACAATTTCAGCACCTGAAGAGAATCATATCCGTGAGAGCCCTAAACTTTTACCATACAAAGACAAAGAAAAAGGCAAGAAATTTGGTTTTAGTCTTTTGTGGCGCAGCATATCTAGAAAGGAAAAGCCCAAAATAGAGCATAGCAGTTTCTCTGCCCAGTTCCCACCTGAAGAATGGCCTGTCCGAGATGAGGATAACTTGGACAATATCCCCCGAGACATAGAACATGAAATAATCAAGAGAATTAATCCCATTCTGACTGTTGACAACTTAATCAAACATACAGTCCTAATGCAAAAATGCGAAGAACAGAAAAAATATAATAGCCAAGGCACTTCCACTGACATGCTGACAGCCAGGCTTAAGTATCCTTCCAAAGAGGGAGTTAAGAAAAGGCCCAGTCGGTCTGTCAAGAAGACTCGAAGGCGAGGCCATTCTCATAGGAAGAGACACAAAGTCCGGAGTTGGGGGAGTGATCTTCAGCCAGGAAGTGTTAGACTGGAGAGGTACCCCAAGCTTCCTGCCACCCAGCCTGGCCCCAGAATTAAAAGTCCCAATGAAGTGGAAGTTCAGAAATCACTTGGTGAAAATCCAACAGTGCTAGATTCCCACGTGATTTACAAGAAGCGAATCAGTAATCCTTTCCAGGGCTTGTCTCTCCGAAGAAGCCCAATGACCAAAGGGTACAACACTCAAAAGGGCAATGGTCTGAAACCCAATCAGATTGGACCAAAGGAAAAGCCTTTCCAAAAGTCAAGGCTTTCAGATTCCTCAAGATTCTTTGATGGTGAAGCCCAACAACCATATCCTGAACAATGTCATGATAAATTGAAAGTAGAATCCATTCATGTGACAAATTCTACTGTCCAATCTGTCAGTGATGACTTCAGAGCTGACCTCTTAAATTCCCCTCAATGTAGTGTTTTGCAAAATGACAGTCAATGCTACTCCTTTAGGGAAAGCATGTTGAGATATGATGCGCATGGTGGTGAAAATAAAGTAATCTCTGAAGTCTTGGGAAAAAGTCATTCACACTTTGACAAGTTAGGGGAGACCAAAGAAACATGGCATATCCTGCCATCACGAGGTTCCTCCTCAGCAGGACCAACATCCTCTGCTAGTAGATTAGTTGATAAAACAATACACCAGTTTCAAAACCTTGACCTCTTGGATTATCCATTTGGTCCAAACTATTTGAGACAATCTGAGACACAAGATAGAAATTCAGAATATCTAATGAGAAAGGCATTTGTCCAGGAGGCAAAGACTGCAAATCTAGAAAATGAAGGGCTTTTTGATGATGACCAGGCCTTGAATCGGGACGAAGTGGAGGATCACGATGGGGCTTGCAGTTCATTATATCTAGAGGAGGATGACTTTCCTGAGAATGATGGCTTGTGTCAAATGCTACCTGGCCGCACTCAATATTCCTTTTTAGATAGAAGCAAGTGGAATCAGTTGGAAAGACAACAAGTGACTGAGAGATCGCTGACTGAGCGTAACAGCAAAATGGATAGGTTTGAGGTTCAGGCACATAGAAGAAATGAATGGTATAAGCCTACTGGGTTGCTTTTAAACCCAGATGAAAGACAAAACCAGAATCTCTCTGCTGAAATCCATACCCAGTTTGATTTCAACAATGAAGAAGAACCCAGTGTTACTAAATATGAACAGGCCTCACCACCACCTGCAGCTGGAAGTTTATTTGATTACTATAGTACAAGGAAACCCAATATTGAGGCTGAAATCCTACAAGACTCTGTTGTTGACACAGTAAAGAAATCAGTGAGTCAGAGTCCTCAGAATCAGGAAATGGGAAAACATTTCACACAAAAGTTAGAACTTTTCAATGCTTCACATATACCAGTATTGGCTCAGGATATCCAGCATGAACACCGTCTCTTGGAAGGAACAGAAAACCATAGCATGGCCGGAGATAGTGGAATAGATTCTCCACGGTAAGCACATGTGAAAGTGTTTGATTAGCTATTATGCCACAGGAGTTATTAAAATCAAGGGCATAGTGAATTGCTTGGTGCAAGACTCCTGATATAAGTCCACCAGCCTTAGTGAATAAATTGTTTAATGTCACAGTGGGATCTCAGAATAAGATAGAGTTCTTTGTTTTTTTTCTTTTTAGTACTGGGGATTGAACAAGGCATGCTCTACACTGAGCTACACCCCAAGCCATTCTAGAAACAGAGTCTCACTAAGTTGACAAAGCTGTCCTTGATCTTGTGATCCTTCTGCATTGGCCTCCCAACTCACTAGGATTACAGGCATGTACTGCTGCACCTGACAGGATAGAGTTCATTTTTAATTTGAACCAATATTTTTTTTTGGTGGGGTGGTGGTACTGGAGATTAATCCAGAGGCACTTTACTGCTTGAGCTATTTCCTCCGTATGTTTATTCATTCATTCATTTTTTAGACAGTATCTCCTTAAGTTGCTAATATCTTTCTAAGTTGCTGAGATTGGCCTCAAACTTGGGATCCTCCTGCCTCAGTTTTCCAAGTACCTGGGATTATAGATGTGTGTCACCGCACCTGGCTGGAGGGTACATTTTTGACATATGTATCTTATGTTTCATTTTTGTGTTATTGGGGAACCCAGAGGGGCTCTACCGCTGAGCCCTTTTTATTTATTTTTCATTTTGAGATACATTCTGCTAAATTGAGATACATTCTGCTAAATTGCTGAGGCTGGCCTTGAACTTATGATCCTCCTGCCTCAGCCTTCCCAAGTAGCTGGGATTATAGATGTGCACCACTACATCCAGCTGTATTTTTTTCTTTTTTTTTTTTTCTCTCCGTCTCTCTCTTCGAGTTGTAGATGGATACAATACCTTTATTTATTTATTTTTATGTGATGCTGAGGTTTGATCCCAGTGCCTCACACTTGCTAGGCAAGCGCTTTACCACTGAGTGCAACCCCAGGCCCCCAGGCCCTCTGCTACCACTTGAGCCACATCCCCAGCCCATGCATCTTAATATCTCTAGATGGAGAGGAGCAATTTGGGAAAGGGGGAATGTTAAAAGCAAAGATAACAGTGGGACTGGGGGTGTGGCTCAGTGGTAGAGGGAGTGCTTACTGTACAAAGAGGCCCTGAATTTGATCCCCAACACTAAAAACAAAATGAAACAAAAACAAAAATGGTAATGTGACATAGCTGAAGCAAGGCATATGTGTTAGATAAGAAATGTAACTTACAGATCCTAGGAAAACAATTTTGTCAATATGAAAAATATAATGATTGGCTTTTTCCTTTTATGACTTCTCAAAAARAAGTCAGGGATGTGGAGATATTGGCCACTTTAGATGTCTAGAAGAGTTTTTCAGGGAACTTATTGTTTCTGACTAGCATATACTTGATATTGGATTGATAATGGATCTGAGATCAGATGTATAGAAAATGTGAACTTCTTTGAAAGCAGTATAACTGAGGTGCTACCATGAAGCCTTTAAAATATAAATAATACTGTTTTTTTAATTTATTTTTTAATTGTAGTTAGACACAATACCTTTATTTTATTTATTTATTGTTTTACGTGGTGCTGATGATCGAACCCAGGGCCCCAAATATGCTAGGGGAATTCTGAGCCACTACCCCAGGCCAAGAATACTAAGTTTTTAGTTCTGTTTGTTTGTTTTTGGTGGTGGTGCTGGGGATTGAACCCAGGAAAACTTGTGAATGCTAGGCAAGCACTCTATACCAACTGAGCTATATCCCCAGCCACCAAGAATACTAAGTTTTTAGTTCTGTTTGTTTGTTTTTGGTGGTGGTGCTGGGGATTGAACCCAGGAAAACTTGTGAATGCTAGGCAAGCACTCTATACCAACTGAGCTATATCCCCAGCCACCAAGAATACTAAGTTTTTAAAGGTTAACTTATTTGGTAAGTGTACTTTAATGTTAATGTACTGCTTCAATATAACAAATGAAAATATAATGCCTTCATTACAATTCCAGGTCCCTTTTGAAGGAAATAAAATTGTGTTATTTTTAATACGTCTAGGACACAGAGCCTGGCATCTAATAATTCAGTCATTTTGGATGGACTTAAGAGAAGACAGAATTATCTGCAGAACGTTGAAGGCACAAAGAGAAGTCAAGCACTCACATCCAGTTCCTTACTACAACTAACTCCAGTCATAAATGTTTAATTTTCTTTTGGAGAAAATTTTTTGTAAAAATGTACAGAAGGATTCTATAGAATCAATCAATCAAGTGAATATGTAAAATTCCTCTAAAACCAAGCATATGTACTATTAACCTCATAATTATATATTTTGTTCCAATTTTTCTAATTTTCTAATTTTTTTTCCTTTTTTGATATTGTAAAGCAGATTTTAGCAGATTAGGAGTTTCTGGGGAATATTTAGATTGCAATAAAAAACATGGAGTCATTGATCCTTTTCCGATTAAATGTCATTCATTTTCTGTTCATTGGTTTCTCAAATACTTAGGATGCTAATTTACTATCTAGTAGTGACTTTTTTTTTTTTCTTTTCATTACTCGGGATTGTACCCAGGAGCTGCTCTACCACTGTATTACATTCCCAGCCCTTTTTATTTTCATTTTGAGACTGGGTCACACTAAATTGGCTGGCCTTGAACTTTGGATCCTCCTGCCTCAGCCTTCAGAGTAGCTGGCATTATAGTAGTACACCGCCATGCCTAGCTAGAGGGTGTTTTTTCTAAAAGTTTTTTAATAATTGCCAAAGCTTAGATCTTAAAAAAGTGATTGAATAACTGGAGAGTTCTGATTCTTACCATCCTGAAGGTCCGAGTAAAGCTCAACATTGTTGGGAGCTACATGCAGGTTCTGTGGAAGTGCAGAAGAGGGAGGTCAGATTTACTGTTCTGTTTAGCATTGGTCAGACCATTCCCTCCTGACTGTTGGTTTTCAGTGGGCCTGGCCAACCTACCATGCATTCTAAAATTAGCCATGGTCACAAGAACCTGCTCAAAGTTCTTGTACCAATAGGGGTAACCTGGCATAAGGACTTGTGGGGTAGGTAAAAGCAGAGGCTTTTTTTTTTTTTTTTTTTTTTTTTTGCATTACTAGAGATGGAACCCTGTTGTTTTGGTACTGGGAATTGAACCCAGCTTTACCATCCCTGTTTTTTTTGTTTTGTTTTGTTTTGTTTTGTTTTGTTTTTTAAATTTGGAGATAACTTCTTGCTAAATTGCTTAGGGTCTAGCTAAATTGCTGAGGATGGCTTTAAATTTGCAATCCTCCTTCCTCAACTGGGATTATAGGMATGCACCACCTCACCTGCTTTATTAGGGAGTCTTACAACATGGTATCAGCACCAGTGAATGGAAGTTAGAGAAATAATTCAACTTGGTGTGAGAACTTAACTATTAAACAAAACTATTTGAAGATGAAGTAGGTAGCTTTGTAAAATAATAAATTTTCTGTTACTTAGGGGATTCAGCCAGAGGCTTGGTGATCCCTTTGCTGCTAATTGCAGGTTTTCACAATTTAGCTTAACATAATGGCTAACCTAGGTAACTGAGGAGTCTTTCCATATCTAAGGTTTTATGCTTATGAAATTTGGTAAGTATCTTATGAAATATTGAACGCATACAAAATTCCTGAGTATTGCTTCCAGTTCTCCATTTTTGCATCTATCTTTGCCAATTATTGGGAAAGAGGGTTTTATCTTTGAGTTTTAGATTAAGACAAGTATCTTATAGAGTGAGGAATCCAAAAGGAATTATTTTGTGACTCTAGGAACTAATGATACCCATCTGATTCTGCCACTGTTACATTATGATGCTCTAATTAGATGTATTAAGTGAAAATGATTGTTGAACAATAAACTTCCCTTCATAACATTCAGAATCTCTAATATTAAAGAAAGATGGGAATATGACCTATTAAGTTGTTTTGGAGATTAATCTTTAAATCAGGTGCATTTTTTCTGAATAACATGTATGTGTCTGAACTTTTAGTTCTTCATTTTTATTCCCTGTTGCAGTCTATTCTCTAATGAGAAAACTGTTTTCTACAGGCCGCTTGATTATTTGAGCTTAGGAGGAGTAAGACCCAAATTTGAATCCCAATTCCAGTTTTAGTACATTGATGAAGCAAGTTACCAACTTTCTCTGATTCAGTTTTCTCATCTATAAAAGGGAGAATAGAAATGATATCTGCCTGGCAGGGTGATTGTGAGGTTTGGGGATAGCTATCCTATCAAAAGTTTCTAATGTAAGAGGTGTCTATTATTATTAAATGCGTGTGGTTGTGTGTATGTATGTGTATGTGTGTGTGTATGTATATACATACTTTTTTTTTTTTAAAGCAAGCTCTGGCAAGTTTTTGGTGGTTGTTATATGTTTTTGGCAAAATTTTTTGTTTTTGGTACTGAGGGTTGAACCCAGGGGTGCTTCACCACTGATCTACATCCCCAGCCCTTTTTATTTTTTATTTTAACATAGGGTCTCGCTGAGTTGCTGAGGCTGGCTTTGAACTTGTGATTCTTCTGCCTCAGCCTCCTAAGTCACTGGGGTTACAGGCATACCCCACTGCACCTGGCTGCAAGTTTTATTAAAGAAAAATTTTTACATGGCTTTATCTTCACCAGTCTGTTCTGGCAGATTTTTAATGATATCCACCTGGTTTGAGGATAGCCAGTGTGCATATTCTAGTACTTTTTGCATGCTGTGCCCAATTCATTATTATTGCCACTGTAGTGGTGGACACCAGTTTTGACTAACATGGCACAGTACTTTATTTCAGATTTTCTCAAAGCTGGGCAGTTGGTGAGGATGACCAATTTTGCTTTGCACTGTCTGATCACCTTAAGAGTCTGCTTGTACCCCAGAGCATACTTTCCACTTTTCATAACAAGCTGGAACCTAGAATTCATCAAATCCAGGAACTTTTTCATCTTCTTTGCGGCCACCATCTTCCTGCCTTAGGTGTGGGATAGTTCCTAACCAAGAACAGCCACCAAGATAGTCTGGGAATGAGAAGGGAAGCTATGTCTTTATTTTTAAATGTATTTATGTAGTCATAAAACTTGCCCGAGATGTAAATATATGACTTACTATACAGGTTTCCTGTTTTGTCAGGTTGTCTAGATCCTGTTATGGATTTAAGATTATAGAAAGTATCCTCCATCAAAATTGAGGTTATGTAAGGGAGAAGTATTATGTCTTTAACAAGTTTCCAGTTAATACTTTATTCTATAAATAGGAACACAGTATGCAAAGTATGGGCTTATTTTATATAATCATATAATGTGATGTATCTTTCATTCATCCTCTCTCATCTGGGATCTCAGACTTTAAGAATACTCAGATAATAAGTTTATTTTTTCTGCAAGCTATTTTTTTTTTAAGAGAGAGAGTGGGAGAGGCGAGAGAGAGAGAGAGAGAGAGAGAGAGAGAGAGAGAGAGAGAGAGAGARTTTTTTAATATTTATTTTTTAGTTTTCAGCAGACACAACATCTTTGTTTGTATGTGGTGCTGAGGATCGAACCCGGGCCACACACATGCCAGGTGAGCGCTCTACCGCTTGAGCCACATCCCCAGCCCTGCAAGCTATTTTTAATATATTTCCTTTGCCTAACTCCTTGTCAACTAAAACACTTTAATTTCTTAGCTAGTGAAATTACACCAGCTCAGCAATGTGACATTATCCCTTCTGTGTATCTTATTCATAGATTAGAAAAATGACCATAATTCAGTTATGACTAAATGCAATTTAGCAGAATAACTATTTTAAAATATCAGATCTATAAGGAAAAACAAAGGAAAGACCTTGTAAGAAATGAAAGATTGCTGAAAACCTATCTACAATGTAGATAAGTCTTTAAGAAATGGGAAAAGACTATTGCCTAACAGGGATTAGAAAAAGAGATATAAAACAAATGAGGGAAGCCAGATTTGGTACATGTCTGTAATCCTACTACTCAGAGGCCTCTAAGTCAGGATGATAAGTACAAGGCCAGCCTGAGCAATTTAGTGAGAACCCGTCTTAAAATTTTAAAAAAGGGCTGGAGATAACCCCTGGAATCAATCCGCAGTACTGGAAAAAAAAAAAAAGAAAGAAAGAAAGAAAAGAATGAGTATCAAAGACAAACTCAGGACTACTTTGCTAGACTTGTTTATCTTCCTGCTTTTGAAACACTGGAATTTTCCCTCTAGCTGAAGCAGCTTCCAAATATTTCTTGGGTAATGGTGCCCCCTTCTGGGATAACTGATGTGACTCTGAAACCCTTTGTATAGCTTGATTCAGAATATCTACTAAGTAATTGATTTAAGAAACATAACTCCCTCCAAAGGTTAAATATTTTAAAACTATAATGATTTGAATTAGGAGTTAAATTCATACATAAATATACATGTTCTAAATTGCTCAAAGAGGCCTCCTTTCCAATGCTTCAAAACCTTAAGCTAGAGTACCTTTTTACCTCATTTCTGTAGTACTRTGTTAGCAAATCCTCCCAATTTCTTGCACTGTCAGAATTACTGTTCTCACTTTATTAACACGTTTTTAAAGTTGAGTTGGCCAAGATTACATGGCTTGCAATGGGAGAGATATTCTCTTCCCTTACTTTCTTTGTGCTTCTCCTTAGAACCATCTGCATTCTCTATCCCCAAAGTCTCTTATCAATTTATAATTACTCCTTAAACTATTTATTGTCTTAATATTTTAAAATGATGGCTATATTCCTGTTGAAACAAAAATTCTACATGCAGATGTAAAATGTTGTACTCAATGGCTTTTTTAAAAAAATTCAACTTTCTAAATGTAGAATAAAAATTAAAATTAAAATCTAGCCCTGTTTGTTTTGCGATGCTGGATATCTAACCATGGGCCTTGAGCATGCTAGGCAAGACTTCTACCACTGAGGTACATCTCCCCAAGCCCTCTAGTTTTGAAAATAACCACAGAGAATAATTAAGTTTAGAATTAGTCATCTTGTTTTAGATCTTAAAGGCCACAGAGTATAATAAGTTAAGGCCAAAGGCATGGAAAAATCTTTACAGAAATTTGGACAGAGAGTAGCAGATAAAACACTACAAAAGAGATTGTATTTTGGAGCCAGGCACTGTTGAGTGTATTGGTAGATCTAGCTACCAGCAAGGCTGAGTCAGGGATGCTTGAGCCCAGGAGTTCGTGATGATATTTTGGATTATTGTAAAT